TTTTTTAATTTCACTTGTTCTTTTCAGAGATATCTGATTTTCCTTAAGCTGCATACTATTACTGCCATCTTCTGAAATATCATCCATATCTAGCTCCCATTTACGGTATCGCTTTCTTTTTTTCGTAATTCTGATAGGATCTTCTAACCGGTTTAAAACTACATAAGGTTCCATTGCATTGCAACGACTGTCATCATTATTTATATGGGATTTGTTTGAACTTAATGTATGATTTTTGTCAAGTAGACTTTCAGTTTCTTTCATTGGGCACGTATTTTTGTTTTCAAGGTCTGTTCCTTCAGTTTCGACCCGAAATTCCACATCACCGGATGATGCACTAGAAATCATCAATTTAGCAGGAATAAACATTTCGTACAAATCTTCTTTCACGTCATCAAACTTAGTTTCTACTTTGCTATCTTCTACATTTAAAAGTGAATTTTTATTTAATTTAATGTAATCGGAATACATTTTATTGCTTAATTCCTTATTTATATCATCTAATATTACGTCACTGGCAGTTACTTTTGTTATATTAATTGCTGGTTTACATGATGATGTCTGAGTACTTCCATTAGTATCACTAAATAAGGACAGTGATCTGTTTACATCAATAGAAAAATTTAGGTGTTTTTTCTTTACCACATCTAACATTCGATGTTCCTGTATTAATTCAGGAGAGACATCTAATGTAATACTTTTTATTATTTCAGTTGTTAAAATATTTTTCACAGAGTCCAGTAATTTTTCACATGTTACTTGTGATAAGTGTTCTCCATGCTTAGGAGTATTATTACTAGTACAATTAAGTATAGCTAATGAATTAGTATTCTCCATTTTTATTTTCTCTGATTGATCTAAATTATAGTTTCTAAATTTGGATGTATTTGTCACACAAGTGGGCAATAATTCAATCTTTTCTTTAATTAGACTTTTTTTTGATGTACCTGATTTGATCCCACACGAATCTTCATTTATTTGTTGAAATTCTAGAGAAACTAAATTATTTTTACTATTTACACTAGTTGGGATACTATCTATGTTTGTTACAGACTCATTTAATTTTTCAGAATATGTGATAGGAATTGGTGATACAGCAATTACATGAGACAATATTTTTACTGGTCTACCAATAGGTGTACTGCTAATAACATTTCCACATGTTTTATTGGAAGACCATCGCTTCGTATCTGAGGATATTTCTAATTGTTCCATTTTTACAAAACAGTGTTTTACATTTTTATTATCATGTTCTGTATTGTCAATGTTTGTTTTAGTAATTTCAGTATGTTTTAATGATTTATCAGTTTTTAATATATTTTTGTGCATCCCTTTTGTAAAATTATTTTCATCATTATTATTCTTCTGTTCTAATATATTCAACTTATCCAAAGTTACAGAACATGGCACTATTTTTAAACTTTTGTTGGAACTTGAGTTTAATATATTGCTATTTTTATTATTTTTTCTAAAGGCATATTTGTTATTAGCTTTTTTATTTGGGCCTTTGTTATACTTATTATGACAATCCTTTTTCTCAGAGATATCCATGTGAGAATCTAAATTTATAGAATCAATGTTCGTGTTACTGGATGTTGTTTTCTTATTGTTTCTTGCTTTACGCAATTTATATTTTTTGTATGATTTATTCTTTTTCACCTGCTGATAGAAATACAAACAATTAAACAATTTTCTCTTACTTATAATATTAATCAATTATAATCTTACTCTACTACTACTTTAAAAAAGCTCACCTCAGACTTTTTATTCTTTTGAGATTCTGATACATCCCTTCTTAATATTATTTTTGTCTTTGTTTGCATTTTAGACTTGTTACATTGTACTTTCTGTTTTGAAACAGGTTTTATGTCATCATCAGGTAACTTTATATCATTGTATAAGAAACATTTATAATGAACTTGTTCTTCAGATATACTACTACTAGAATTAGAACTACTATCTGTATTGTTATGTTTTGCTGTAGCATTGTACGTTTTAAGTGACTGTGTTTGAGTTCTGTAAAAAGAAAAACAAATCAGAATTTAAACATATATTTGAAAATAATAACAAAATTGCATACTTCGTATTTTTAACAAGTCTGTCAAACGTTGTTTCAAAAGGATCATAAAATATAGAATCATTGTTACTTAATTCTTTTTTTATTGAACTGTTATTAATGGTTGCAGTGGAAATATGTATTTTTTGCATTGGAATTATTCTTTCTTCACATTTCTTCCTCCCATAAGTACGAATCGGCACTTTACAATTCATTTCGACTTCTTTACAGTGCCAATAAGAATTGTCGTCCTTCTTTTGTGAACAGGTTGGGTAAAAAACTGAATTCAGAAACATGCATTTTAATTTCGAACACAACCTAAATAATACGGTTTATTTTATCACTACCTTGGTGAAGAACGGGCTGAAGTAGCAGTCTAGTGACTCACGTGTTCAACAGAAAATCCCCAATGATCAGTGATCATTGACTGACATGTCCACTGAAATCATCCAAGTTGCTCGATGTTTTCCTAATCACGTGGTTAACCTCTATTATACTCTTACGAATTCTTATGTTTTTTATGATTTGCTTTATAAAATGGATTCAGGTGACAACTTTGATGTTTACGTTGGTTGTAAATCTGGAGTCTTCAAAGGTAATTTTAAGTCTTTATTTTAAATTAATACGTTTTTGTAGTTAATTAAACTTCTTAATGTCTTCATATACGTGTATAGGTTAACTGCAAAAAATGTTTTTTGTTTTTATTAATACTAGTTTAACAGAGAGTGAACATTTATAATTCATTATGAAATCTATTAATTCAATTTTACTGAAAACACTTTTTATTTATAGGTGTAAAAATAGCTAAAAAGGAATGTGTAATGCAAAACATACAAAACTTGGTGTCCATAACGGATGACGACGAAGTCACGACAATGTCCTGGGGTGATGACGAAGAAAAGGAAATTTTAATCGCCTGTGGAGTAAAAGGGACTAGGAGGTTATATATAATAAGTAATTTTTCAGCTGAAGTAAAGTTGAATTTGCCATCTGTGATGACTTATCGTAATAGCTTCTACTTTTCAGTGTGAAAGTTTATGATACAAAGTGTTCAACATTTACATGTTCATTTTTTACTGATATTGGAAAAGGAAAGATCAATGGCATATCACGGTACAATGGGTAAGTAATGACTGTTGTAAACACTAAAATTGTCTTAATTTTGTATATGTTTCTTTAGAGCAATTTTGACTGCAGTACATTCAGGAGAAGTGAAATTATGGAGGTTTGAAAAGGAACATGAAATTCTGATAAATGCTGGTGAAAATTTAAATAGAATGCGTCATTCTAAAACAAATAAAAACATAATTGCAACTGGTGGCTATGAGCATAGGCTACAATTATTTGACTTAGAGAAACAGAGACAAATATTTTTAGAAAAAAATCAACCTAATGATTGGTTACAATTAAAGGTTCCTATTTGGATTTCTGATATAGATTTTCTTCCTACTACAGAACAGATTGTTGCAGTTAGTAAATATGGGCATGTAAGATATTCATTATACATATACTAACATTTTCTATTATAAGAGATGGAAGTTTTTATATTGAGATAATAAATTAATAAATATTGAACATTGTAAGGTACGATTGTATGATCCAAAGACACAACGAAGACCTGTCATCAATTTAGAAGTAGAAGGTGAAGCCTTAACAACATTAACCGTGACACCAAGAGAAAAGTAAGTATATTGTATACATTGTATATTAAATCATATTTATCAGAGATGGGCAAAATCCTGACAAGATTTCGCCCAATTCTAATATACATAGTGATATAAATACAAAGTGAATCATGTTATTTGTATTTCAGGCAAATTATAGTGGGTTCTGGGAAAGGTAAAATGAACCTTGTAGATCTAAGGAAACCAGCTAAAGTATTAAATACTTACAAAGGATTTGCTGGTGGTATAACTGGACTAGCTTGCAGTACAAGCGAACCTTACGTTGTTAGCGTTAGTTTAGATCGATATTTAAGAATACACCACATCGATACTAAACAGTTACTAAAAAAGGTAAAAGTAGTAGTTACATTAACAAATTAATTTTGAAGTTGCTCTACAAAAAAGATTTATTTTAATACTATATTCCTAACGTTTATATATTAATATTTGTTTTATACTACAGGTTTATTTAACATCGAAGATATCGTGTATGTTGTTGCATTCAGGATTTTCGTTACCAACAGAAATTGAAACTGACAAAGATGTACAAATATGTAACAATAGCTCGGACTCGAGCATCAAAGGGCAAAAAAATGAGGCAGATAAACCAGATAACGATGTAGAATATGACATGTTATTTGAGAAGATGCCTGTTATTCTAAGTAATAAAGAGGATAGAAAATCAATTGAACGAAAGCGAAGGAAAACAAAAGAAAGTTCGTCAGATGAAGAAATTGTAAGTATTTAAGTAGTATTCTTTTCAATTTGTATAAAAATCTTAATAAATGGTAAAAAATAATGATTCTAAATTATACTTTCAACATATAGATATCTTCAAAGTTTACAAGGAGAAAAGAGAAATTAGAAAAAAATTGTAAGAAAACAAAATCGAAGCAGTCAAAACATACATAAAGTCATTAGTCAATATGAACACTACTACAGTTCTCTTGATATAACGCAAATACACCTTTAGGAACAGAAAATTCTTCCATAGAATTTATTATATAAAAAATCTCTTCCATGCATCAGTCTACGCATAGTCTGTCACTCTACAGTGAAGAGGATGTTAGCCACGCGGCGTTATATCAAGAGTCTACTGTATATTTAGATTAAGAAAAACTGAAACTGTCACGTATTTTTGTAATAAGTTTGTTTATAAAGTTCGAATAAATATTTATATCTTAAAATGCAGAGTATCGAATAATTTCAATTAATCCACGAAGTATAATCGCCAGGCGCTTCTAAAAAACAGGGATAACAAATCAAACAAAAATGATTACGAACAATAAAGTAAAATGTTTCTGTTACGATGTATTTTGTCAATCAGCAATTCGTTTTTCATTTGTAACTTACATATATGAGGGACATGAATAATACGCTAATCGTTTTTGCCCTGAATATACAGTACTGAAACGCGACTAAGTGTACTGCCTAATTATTCGATTAATTCTTTATTGTACAATTTATTCTTAATACCTTGTCTATATATTGTTTTGGTTCGCAAATGCAGCGTACGCCGAGTGCAATGGTTTCTCAAGTACAATAACTACCGCTGTCTGTTTTCTGTCAGGGTTATTTAAATTGTGCTTTCGATACAATTGTGATATTGAAATCGGGTGCGCTGCAGGATGTAGGCTACTGTAATTTTTTTTTTACGTCTAAAAACTAGAAAAAGTGAACGTGACAACTCGCAAAGTTGAAACGCATTTTGTACTAAAAGGAAATATAATGTTCGCAGCTACAGCACACTAAATCTTATTCGACTATATTCTTTCAGCTGTACAAAAATCATTGTCCACTACGCCTCTTGTTAATTAATACTAATGCAAACATGCTTTATCCTGACTGCGCTTACATCTGAAATGGAATATTTATTCTTATCCTCGTAAAACGTACCTAGGAATAAATTTACTAAATTACAGGCACTGTCCCCTTCAAGATCAAGTGGTGGTTTTACCCATATTTCTACAGAGAAAATGGAACTTCGCGCCAAAAAGGAAAATACATTCCTTGGCACAAAGGCCATTTATATACAAATTTTCACATTTAGATGTAACATGCAGATGTCTGCACAATTCTTAATTCCATCTCTTTGATGCAGTAAGCGTAGAACAAAGATCTGTTTTGAGGCGAAACAGTTTCTTTTAATTGATCGCGTTTGTACAGGAATGCCTTCTGCCATTCATTTTGTAATTCGTTATTGAAATAGTATCAACGTTGAGTGGAGTATACGTTTTACACAATTATCGTCCACTTCTCAAATAGAATTCGATACGGGTGCTTTCTCTGTTCATATGACATGATTACATAGATTAGATGAAAACTTAGGTTCGACATGATAAATATTTACGATAAACAATCTATGTAGTTTCCAAAATTATTTTCTTCCGATTAATACCTATAAAAATTAATAATAATGTAAAATTTAATTACAAAACTTTCCTTTTACATTTTACGTGACGTCAATTATACCGTCATAAATAATTACGTAATGTACAGAATTTGGTCAGAGATCACATAAAAACGCCAATATGTTCCTTACACTTCCATTTCCGTTTCTTTTTCCTACATGAAAATTTGCCAGCAAAGTAGTTAATTTCTAAAAACCTCACGTAAAGCAGATACAAACAAAATATAAGTATTTAAAAGAAGTACAATTAAATTAAATTATATATACACACAAATCTATAATAAATGTAACATGAATATGTTCAAAATCAAACTGTTTCGTAAGTAACTTGAATAAAGTACTGCTGATACTTCTAGAAATTTAAAGCATCGATTAAGATTGGTGGCAGCACGTATTCAATATAAGGAAAAGTTGTTTCCATTTTCCATGCTTTGTAGGCCTGTCACTTAATATGTAACAATATTGTATGAAATACATAAAACAATGACGTATAAATTCAATGACAGATTATAGGTTAGATTCATGTAAAGTAATGGCTTCCTGTACTTGAATATTTCTCGAAGATGCACAGAAGCTTGAACGATAACACAATTTTTTAACATTTTAATTATTATTTTACTGTTTATTATTTGTTACACGCACACTAATTTCATTTGATAGCTAAATCATAGTCGGTCGTTCATGTAAAATCAAAAGCACCATGTTTCTTTTCCTGTATCGCATGCTGTGCAATTGTTTCAAATTGAATTATTTATTATGCACATCAGTTGTTGATGTTCAAACATCTAACTGCGACAGTTCCACAGGCGAAAAGCTGTTTTAATAAACAAGCATACAGGATATACATATTTAGAGACTTTTGTTTAAAACTGTAATATTCGTTTATGTCGGAGAAAAGCGTGGAAGGTCTCTGTAAAAACGGGGTCCATATTTATTAATTATGGAGCACTCTTCGATATACCACTACAAAGTTTCGTGTCATCCAGACACATCTCTAAACTATTTCAGGTAAATAAAGTAAGTTATTTCATAATCTTTGATCTCAATTAAAATACAAGGTTTCAGTGTAAGAAGAGCACAGCAGCATTATATAAATGTAAAGGACGAAACAGCTATTTGTTTCCTTGAAACTCTTTTGAAACATTCCCAGTATACGGTAGCAGAAAGGGTGTCGAGAATTCATACCCTGAGCAGTTAATGGCGTAGCGATCGTGCCTGGCAAGAAGCTCGAACGTTTATGTTGAGTAGCATTTGTACCATAAAAAAATTAAGCTTTCTCAACTTTATACATTATACAGCATTGCATTATTGTTTGTCGCGTCCAGTGAAATTCGTTCATCATTCTCGTACTCGCCGAGATTTTATTTACTTCCGGTAACCGTTACTTTTCTGACGTAAACGAGCATACAACAATGTTTCATATGTTTTTCATAAATTCTTAAGCATGGGTAACGCGAGCGTTAAGAATAGGTGAAAAACACATGCTTATCCGTTTGTTACTTGCTGCTGTTGCACTGCAAAATTTGAACTTTACAGTGAGTAAACCAGTCACAATTTCATGCCTAATAGCATGTTAAGGTGATATTGCCTCATTCTCCCCCTGACACGGTTACTTCCCTCCATGCAGGTTCTTGAGACTGGTTTACTAAAGTAGATTGAGGTTCAGAAATATCTGACGCTGCTGGACTCAGCGGTGGACTAGGTGTCGCGGGTGCCTCTTCGGATTGGTTTACGTCAGCTGCATCTTGTTCAGCTTCTTGTTCACCATCAGGGAGAGAAGCTTCCGACTGCACAGAACTCGGAGCCTTTGATACAGAATCCTGTGCTCTTAACGATATAGAACTATTTTTATTGCTACTGCCATCTTCACCTATAAACAAACATTTAATTGTTATTTTGATCTATATGTCTCTAATTAACGTGATGCAATTTTAAAACGGTATTCTTACCACAAGGCCTAAGAACGAGGTAGAAGAGTAAATCGGATAGAGAAATTATACCAATCACTTTATCATCTTCATCAACCACTACTAGCCTATGGACCTAAAAAATATCAATATATATATATATAATTTAATTTGACACGTAACAATTATTTTGCTCAATAATACGTACACCTTTAATAATAATAATTAGAGAATACTGTACCTCTGCCCTAACAATTCTTTCCATAACAGTAAACAGAGTCTCATCTAATTTACAACTTTGAACTCCTTCAAACCACTCATTTCGATGCTCATTTGCTTCTCGTAATGAAACATCTAAGTTGTTATATGTTTTTTCAGCAGCTAAATTCTGAAAAAGAGAAAAAAAGTTTCTTTAAAGATTGACAACGATAAATCAACAAACGTGATAATTAAATCACGAAATCTACTTACAATAACATCAAACTTCGAATATATGTTAACCAACTTTCCTTCGGCATCGATAATTGGTAATGCTGAAACTCTCCTTTCGACAAATTTCTTGAGTGCTAAAATTATGCTAGTTTCTTCCGTCGCCGTTTCTATATTATCAAACGAACCTATCCTTAACTCTCTCAATGTTTTATTTGTGAACGATGGTTTTGGTAGCTCGTGAATCTGACATTAAATTATTATTATTATTATTATTATAACACAAATCTTCTGGTAAATAATTTTTTACTTATACAATTTCTATAATTTCTACTCACATAAAGGAAGAGGAACCTAAGTATTCGTTTGTGTGTCAGGATATAGAGAACATTTCCAGTATCTGGGTCTATCACAGGCAAACGATGAATTCGATTGTGAATTAAAGTTTTAATGGCCTCATACAATGATGCATCTGGGCTGATGCTCACTAATGGATGCACCTGATCTTTCAAGACTTCTAAAATAATGAAATATAAAACATGTTTATATTAATAAAATTATGAGAAGAATCTAATAATAGTGTGTTTGTATTTTCTGTCATACATTAAAATGTCTATTAAATCAACATATTTACTTCTCCATGTATCTAACTCGTGTTCTTCTAATTCATCCATTGTTACAGATGGGCTGGTGTAGTACATCTGCAGAATTTTTATAAAATCTGTTATAGTTAACATCCCGATAAATTCTTGTCTTGCACTGTCCCATAGTGGTGCAGCTCTCACACCTGCACAAAAAAAAACCATTGTTAATAAAATATGCGACATATAAATATATTTGTATGTGTAATAAAGAGAAAGGCAATTTTGCAATCTGAAACAAGCCTTCATGTACGTTTAGATTGTCTGATATGAAATTATCTTCAGAATATTAATAGGTAAGTGAATGAACAAAACACATCATAAAAATATAGACAATTCTCTGCAACCCTTGTTATAATTGTATATTGAATTATTGAATTATTGAAAAATTATACTACATTGAAACAAAATTAACAAAATTTGAAGATATTGATAGAAATTTATGGTAAAGATGTCATAAAACTGATTTAATATTTACCGTTGTAAACAAGAGCGAAGAAGGCCTTCTTGACAAGGAGATGCGTGTCGAAAACAACCAATTTGGCACTGGTAGGTATTAGGTCGTAACATTTGTGAAATTTGAAGAACTTGACGAAGATCTGTGATTCGTCCTCCTCTGAAAGTCCAAACAGTTCACAGTAGAGTAATGCTTTATGGTTTCGACGAAGCATTTTTGTCTTTTCTTTGTTTTCTAACGATGTCACAATGTCCTTGCGAGTTTACACGTTATCTTGCAAAACTATTTGTACTTTGCATAACAAGATAGGGGATCGATTCATCGATGCCCCTATTCTGTCCGTTCAGACGTTCGCACTTTATTGTTTCTAATGTCGAAACACTCTTTCCTTCTTCAATTTCTCACAAAAATTATCGAGCCTGACAGGATGACCGTCGAACCGGGTTTTGTGACCTTGCGTTGGGATAGGTTATGGCGATGTATTCACTGGCGTCGAATCACGAATTTTGGCGCTACTTTCGAACAATGCAAGCAAATCCCTTCTATTCACCGAAGCTCTCATAATCAATGTTTTTTACCGCGGAGGTTGCGAAAGGAAACTTTCAATATAGGAAACGTGGATAACTTGAATGTTTGTTTGCATTAATTATTAATATATCGATCGTTGACGTTTAATTTAATTTTGTACGTGTTATTTTAATCTCTTCATTGACGTATTGCTTTGTATCGATGATAAAATTAAAATTCTAATAGATGTTGACTTATAGAATTTAACAAATTTGTTAAGACTTGGTGTCACATATCATTGGGGAATTTAATTGTAAGTATTAACTAACGAGGATAAAATTTTATAAATTTTCAATGATGAGAAAAATGTTCAACAAAGTAGTCGTTTAATAAATAGTTATTACGTGTAGAAATTATTTCTGTGCTTTTCTAAAGTAAATTACCATTTATTCATAGAGAAAACTTTTATTTATATATGATGAGAACACACAGCTTTAAAACCTTCACTCAGTCACACATTTCAAGGGAGCACATACACTTGTAAAAACAAAATGCCAAGTAAATATTTCTAATTAAACTAGAGTTATGAATGTACAGTGGGTGTAGAAAGTATTCGTACACCGATCAATTTCTCAAAAAACTTTTGTGTAAAATTGTAATTTATTAACTTATTTTTTATAAACAATGGCATTCTACATATCCTCAGAAGTCTCTAAGATAGATATAGTCCAAACAACATTTACTAGTTAATATAATTCGTGAAATTAACAAGAAATAAACAATTAATCGATAGAAATATCGAAGCAATAAGTATTCGGAAAACTGTTTAAAAGTACTTTACTGGAAATTTGATGTTTTCTAATTCGTACGGAGCAATAAACTAATGTGTTTACGTTACAAACTCTGCTGCAAATGGTTCGTCGTAAGAATCGTACAGATACTTATTGCTTCTATACTTTTACCCACTTTTCGCATTTATTTTGTTAATATCACAAATTATATCAACTATTAAATGTTGTTTGGACTATATCTATCTTAGAGACTTCCGAGAATATGTAAAATATCATTGATTATAAAAAAGGAAGTTAAGAAACTACAATTTCACAGAAAAGTTTTTTGGGAAATTGATCGGTGTACGAATACATTCCACACCCACTGTATGAATATAAAGGCATAGAATTAATTTCTACGCCTAATATTTGTTCGAATTCTTCCATTAGAGGTCCCTGTTATTTCAACCTGGATAAATGGCGATAATATGGGTCACAAGTACTTAATCAAACGTTCTCACGAAGGGTGGTTATGTTATGCAACGTTGAAATGAGCCCCATTGGATGATCGATTACACGCGGCGACGAGAGAATCACTTTATAACCTGCTCAAATGACATGAATTTTTCATCGACTAATTCGTTGACAGGTACATCGGTAAACTAATGACTCGACCTATTAGATCATCGCATCAGTTCGTGTCACTAATTATCCTGCTATTGAAATTAATATTTGGAACATATTTTTAAATGTTATGTTGATTAAGAGAACAAATCATACATTTGAAGAGCCTTTTTCATTCTTTTTTAATTATTATTTGGAGCGAACATGGGTAGTAGGTAATTTATTTAACTTTTTCTAAGTGAAATTCAATTATCTTAAAGATTTATTTAGGACATTTTCTTAAATTGTTACAAGTAACGAATATATATATATATATATATATATATATATATA